ACTGCAGAATCAGTCTAAGATATTCCATATATTGCACATAGCATGTTTCTTGAACAAAATGCTACATGCCAGAGCTAGAAATGCAGTAATAGATTATGGAGTCATTTCCAAAAACACTCAAATATTAAGCATGATCCAACTTGAGTACAGCTGGATCGTGCATCTCCAACATCGCAATGCCTGGGAGTGTCCATCATAAATAGGAAGATGTCTTTGTAATTAAAACATATTGCACATGACACTGATTGTAACAAGGATATCCAAAATGTTGGTACACACGATGAGTACATGCAAATATCTAGGACAGAATATTGGTATAAACATAGATAATAGTAAACAGTTCATAATTCATTTATTGCACATAACCACATATTTCATATATGACCTGGTTACAAATGCTGGGAGAATATATATATACAATGTAATATATAATATATATTCAATATACCTCAAACAAAAACATTCTATGCACATGGAAACAATATGTAACACTAAAATAAATATCTGATTTGTTGCATACTGATCACTCTCATAGGCATCTGGTCCCCTGATATTTCACCATTTGAATAGTATTAGCAACACTTTTGTTGTCCTGGAGTAGATTAGTAAACTACATGTATTAGTTAACCATTATTGAACCATTATAAACACCCTACAAAGTTTTTGAATATCATGCTAGTCAGACAACATAAAAAGTTTTTAAACCAACCAGGTTACTTTTGGCTGAGGTTTTCACTACTGGTATTCTCTTTGAAACATTAAATGAAAACAAATGTCACTGCTATGCAATTTTCTGCAGAACACATAAAACACTAGGTATTTCCCTTATTGAAACACTTCCTACTACTGTGCAGGAACATACATGGATGTAAATGCATGTGCTGTCATTCACTACAGCTGCTGTAATAAGCTTGCATGGGAGCGACAAGACTGAAAATGTTCATCATTAACAGGTGTTGATCATTAGAATTTAAGTGTCTTACTGATATAAGATGGTAATTATTCAACTGTTCATTTCTCCTCCCCTGTGTCAAGTGCCTGCCATGTGGTATGGGACGGTCGCCAGGCTGCAGTACGAGACTGCCTGGTATTTATGCAGGGAAGGCTGCACTGTGAACCTGTAACCGAAGAGCCCCCACCATACACACGTGTCTTGTGTGACCAGGAAATACTCTCAAGTTGGACTCTCTGGTATTTCTCAATGTGGGATTACATCTGCCTGGCTTAATATTATTCATCCTTGTTATACTGCTAGAATTTGGCACATTGATCTCCAGGCAAATAGCTCTCTTCTGTCCTAAAGCTTTTTATATGTATGCATCAATCCTTCTTACACCGAAATCTCCAAATAAGGACAATCATAAAAAAACATCCGTAACTACAGCCCAATATGAAACTGATTCTATGAAATAATAGACCTCTAAAGATAATAGACTGCTAATTGTTGTTGCATGTAAGGTTATAATGTGGAGGCCTTTGAGATTGTGTGATCAAAATAATCAATATCTCATGTTACAGGGCCTGTGCAAGATGTAGGGAGCATGTAGTTGTTACACCTAGCAGGGCTGTATACAGCTGTGTTGCTGCATGCTGCCCCATAGCCCCACAGCATCCTCCTGTTAGGTGTGATATGACATTCATACACTCTCCGGGAGACATGGGACTGTGTCACTTCATTAACTGATGATAATTTCAGAAATGTTCAACTTCGCACTGGTAATTTCTATCTGTCACATCTCAAGGGAATAACCTGACAAATGCGTGTCACTCGTTTACCACTGGTCAAACACAATCAGGACACTGTACTACATTGTACCTTAAATAATGTACAAACAGGAAATGGTAGATCTGTAACAACAACAACAACAACAACAACCAAATATCACCTGTTGTGGCACACATAAATATATATCATTGAATAGAAACCATCTGGCATTCTCAAGTCAAAGCACAACAAGCTGGAGATGTGATGATATACTTGGATTACTGGCTTAGTTACCAAACTGGCATGATTTTCCCAAACGAATGCACCATCAATAATATCCATCAATTACCATTGTAATCTGGGGAAAGATTGATATCCCACACAAAGGATTTATTTCAGTGTCAAAATCATAGGTCTTTTGTAAACCTGACAATTCCTCAATCTATTATCATCACAGACTTCCAACAAACTTTGTAAAATAGCCTTCTTTGGCAAGTGTAAGAAATGTGATAATTACTGAAAGGTTAATAAAACGAATAAAAGTTCTACATTGTATCCTGGTACCATAAGGATAACCTTACATTTCATGTGACATTAGCCAGCACCCAATCACAGTTAATAACAGAACTATTATTACATATAATTATGCTAAATCACCTAACCTACTGCTAAGTCTGATAGGGTTATACATGACATAGCAATTATCCCCCTTCCCAGAGATGAAGAAACAACTGAATAGGACAAAAAAAGACCAAACAAAAACAATTCTAGAAAAGTGAAGAGAAAACTAAATAGTAGATTACATTTTCGAACTCAAGGCAATAGTGTATAAATAAGCCCTGTGCATAATAACACACCAAGTTGGAGCTGAAACACAGAAGTATCTGTGAACACACTGTAACAAAACATGGACGCCATGAACATGTGGTAGTATTAAATTTTTAAAAAGATTAAAACATGTTCATATAATCCCTCCCCACAAACTAGTCACCCTGTTATCTGTTGCAACACATCCTACTGACTGTTCTTAATTGACACCCTTGGAAGTTGGGATTGTCCTATTTATTTTGGCAAGATCAACATGCAAATGAAATGATGAATAAAGATCAACTGAACTCGGCAAATGCTTTTCCTCAATCATGTGTTAATACTCAAACACAGTTATACCCTATTCCTTTCTGGAAATTTACAATGAATAATAAAATGAAAAGTAAAGGACGTTAAATTTGAATAAAGTATTTCTCCCCACACACTTTCCACTACGAAATAAAGCCATATGTTCCAGTGTATAACCAACTATTCATAGCGAGGCACTGTAACAATACTGAATCACAAAGAGGTATAGTACAGAGTCATCACTGATGTCTAACCTAGCAGCATCCAGGGCCAGCAACAGTCTGTCACGCTGCACACCACCACGTGGGAGAAACAGCTGGCACTACATTGAGGAATACATCTAACAATCACATCATGCTGAAACACATTGTTCCATATTCTTTATGTCAGAATTTAGAAGGAGACAGTATAACACTCTCAACAGAAGTCTTGAAGTCAAACATTGATCTTGTGCATAAAAGAACAAGGTAATCATATTGTATGTTACATATTGTGTGTCATGAATACTGACATTCATGACACTGTTTGGTGTTGAAACTTCTGTCCAAGAGGGTTGCCTGCTGGCAGGTGCATGCTGTGGCCCTGCTCTGTCTCCTAGTGGTTGGCCAGGCACACACTCCAGCACCACTCTCCTGGACGCCACCAGGTCACAACATTATTGCTGTCTGTCCACAGAAGGCGCTAGGCCAAACCTATAGGTCCAGAATAGACGAAGATGATGACGTAAGGTACAATAGATACAATGACTTATTTGAGACAGATTGCTGATGGTGAATGTCATCCCAAGGGACTAATTACTGACAGTACAAGATACCACACCCATCATCATCCATCCATGACTATGGGCAGACTACCTCGGAGATGACAAGTACCTGAAACAACATTGAAAATATTTGTCAATAAGTGTAAAGAATAGAAACTAAAATATAATCTGCTTTGCAGACTGCACATACTTTCAAAATATAATCCATCATAAATGCCAGAAAGGCAAACGTACATTGTATGTATGTAGTAGTACATAATCAGTCATAAGAATATCCATATAAATATATATACATGATCAGATGATAGTATGTGTGTATGTGTGTGTGTGTGTGTGTGTGTGTGTGTGTGAACACAAAACAACAGTTTTTTTAAAGCTAACAACATAGGCACAACAAATGCAAAATGCAATGTGCCAAATACCTAGCATTTCATCAAGTCTAGTAATCTTATTTCACAACAACACAATATAACAAGTTTGTCACCTGTTCATTCACCTGAGGTGATATTATGTAGCTTTTGACAGCACAGTGCATATGAAATGGCAATTCTTTCTAAACATGCTACCAACAACGGGGGATGCTCACTGTACTGTGCTGTGTACACAGAGCTTCAGAGAAGCTGCATATTTACGACCATATCAAATACACCAAATACATCACCATACAAATAGACATTGCAGTTTTTAAAAGTCATTAGTATAACAACACGTACCTATATGTCTTTACATTATTTTTTACTGAATGCAGGCATCATGTCACATGTACATGAACTCTCAACTGCAGCAAATAGTGCACAGAAGTTGCAGGTCTTGCTTACGGGTACTGTAATTCAGACATGTAAGGAACACAAATGAACAGATGCAAATTAGAAGTCATCTAATACCGCATTAAAAAGCAGACTTAATATTTTTAGAAAAGGTATGCACATTGGTATAAAAAATATTCAAAAGACTCGAGTCAGTGGAGTAAAAATATATTCAATACACAAAGAGAACCATGAACATGATGAATCCAATGTGAATGATGATGTGAGTAAATACACAATGGCTCCAAAATTTTTCTGGGGCGGTATTCACAAAGCTTCTTAGAATTTTCTTAGAACTTGACTGAAGTTTTCTAAAAAATTCTTAGCTAAGAAAAAATCTTAAGTATCAATTCACGAACAGTCTAAGCATGATTCTTAGCAAAGTATTAGTATAATATCTAAGAGTTTTCTTAGTCTACCCCGTTGCATCTTGGGAAGTAAAGTTTTGACTAAGAATATTCTTAACACCTTTCGAGTGACGTTTTGGACATTCCCTTATCTATAAATAGCAACAAAACACGACTCTTCAGTGTTGAAAACGCGAAAGTAAAAAGTTTTGGCAGACGACCTATTTTCGATTCGGCGGGAATATCGACGGCAGCCAGCGAACATGACTGACAAAAAGCGAAAACCCAACTGGTCTGAGGACCAAAACCTGCTCCTGACGAAACTTGTTGACGAAAACAAAGCGGTTTTATTAGGAAAGTTCGGGGCAGGCGTGAAAGCTCAAAAGAAAAAGGAAAAGTGGGTGGAGTTTACCCACACGATCAACGCAGCCTTTCCAGGTACGGCAGACCATAAAGATAGTTTTGGGTATTGAAATATATTAAGATTCAAATAATGTTCAAAATTCTATTGTTATTCAAGATTTTAGTATTTTGCAAATTTTCACAGCAGCAACGCACATAAAATCGGAAGGATTTTTTTGGATAGAACCAGATTGTATTGTATAAGATCTATATTTTATTTAACATAAAATTTATTTTCAGGGAAAGAAAAAAATAAATGTTATTGTACAGGTTATCAGTTATATTACAGTGTCACATCCAGTACCTATTCGTTTATTTCTGAAATTTACATTACACAGTTGAGAATTGAATATTTTTATGTAAATCATAGGATGCATCAGAGCCCCCGAGGAGGTGGAAAAGAAATGGCATAACATCCAAAGTAAAGCCAGGGGAGAAATTGCAAGGTACAAGCAAGGTGTTATCAGCACAGGTAATTATTGTAGTTCACATTTTGCAACACTGAACTGTAATAGTAGTTTTACAGTGCATAAATCACCAGATCTGAGATACATTTAATCTTAATGTGTTACAATTATTGTTTATTCTAGCTTTCAAGTAAAAATATTTGTATTTGGTGTCTTTAAGTACATTTTGGTGTCCCATACAGTGTATAATCAATTCTAAAAAGTTTGAATTTACATATGTATATACAATTCTTAGGCTGTCTTCAATTGATACTTTAGTATTATTTAACACATTGATTCGGAATAAAACTTTCTCAATTTTTCTGATGTAAGTAAAAATAATTTTCACTTCGACAGGTGGTGGTCCATCACCATGCCACATCCGAGGTAGTGTGGGATATTCTGGGGCAGGATAATGTATCCATATCTGGAATCCCATCAGCCATGGACACATCCCTCCTACAGGTGGTCAGCCTTTCTGACACAGTTAATGCAAGGTAATTCTACTGATGTATTCCCTTGCCCTTGTAGTGAGTATAATCATTCATATAGCATAACTCTACTTAAATGATTTGCTATGAAAAACTATTATGTTAGCAAAGTACCTCCTGTGTATAAGTGGTCATACACATTACTATAAAAGCATCCATATTAAATTATATAACACATCAATAACAGAGAATAACCAATCTTGATTATCTTCCTAAACAAATCCTGCAAAGTGCAAGATTGTGGTGAAAAGTATTTGAAGGGATCACTAAAAATTATTGATACTCCATGTGTTTGAAACTGATTATTACCTCATATTTTTACCCTATTCAGATACATAGATACTCAAAAACAACAATGACTAAAACATTTTCTGTCCATTTATATACAGTGAATACAGTGATATGGCAGCACTTGACTTGCAGACACTCCAGGCCATGGGAGGAGCTGTCCCTACTGCATCAACAGTGTCTGTGCCTTTACAGCCGGAACCATCAGTGCCAGACACCACCTCCTCAGCACTGGGATCCATGAAGAGACCAGCAGGATGGAGCACAGTCCAGGAGCCAAAGTCCTCGCGACAAACTTTCCCTGTTGGGGGAAAGCTATGATGAGCTACTCTACAAGAAACTTAAACTTGAAACTGATTGTTTAAGTCTTAAGAAGAAAATTATGGAAATTCAACTTCAAAAACTGCAGAATGAATAAAATTTATATCTATACCATGTATGCATATCACTTTTTAAGGCCAGAGAGTTTACCATGTTTTCAAAATGTAATGTATTCTTTGAAGAGAAAGATTTGAAACCTATTTTGACACAACCATACTCCTTTTCAGTTTAAATTTATCTTCAATAATATAATATTGGTTAATGTGTGAGGTTACAGTGTGTGAAATGTCATTTCTATCAATAGATACATTGATAACATGTCATAATTTGAATGTGTTTTCATTCAACCATATTCTCATGTTTTACTTCTTCTTACAGCAACATTGCATTTCAGGGTTCAAAATCTTCGTATTTGGGTGCCAATGATATGGATAAAATCAATAAAATGTAAGACCTTAGCTGACTAAGCTTGTAACACACTTTTTCCAGTTAAGTATTTCATTGAACAGTATTGTGTATCTCTGTTGAATGCCTTTCATATTTTTATAAGAATATTGTTCCCACAACAAGGAGGCAAACAGTTCAGGATAATGTCAAAATGATCCACAAAAGATTTTGTTAATCTATTTTAGGAATAGGGTACTAGTCATCATATTGTGTTACTTATCGCGAAACTGGAAGATGTCCATTATGGGGTGCCTGTCACTAATTGTAGAAAGTACTTGCTCCGTCTGTTGAGACTATCACCTGACAGGTATGTTTATCAGTGCTAAAAAGGATTGTTATCTATGGCCAGTGGCCAGTGAGGATGAATATCTTATTCTGTGTCACTGCATTTGATATGACAGACAGGGCCAGTTACTCCAAGAAATTGTGATATGTATTACAACATGTATTTGCTAAATTTCTGAAATATGTATAAGAAATGCAGGAAGAATTTAAACGTGTTTAACTTTCAACAATGATTATGTATTGAAGACTTTATGTACTATCGTTCTTTTGAATTTACTACAATAAAATCTGTCTGTCATAAGATGTTTCTTACAAGAAGATAAATGTATTTTCATATACCAGGTAAGTAAACTGGGAAAATGCATTGCAATTGAACCCTTGAGCATTTTTTAAAGAATCCTTGAGATTCACAAATTATATATAATATTTAACAATTATAGTAACAATATTAAATTCATTAACCAGTTGTAATAAATTGTTTGTGAATTATTTTTGAAAAAAGGTAAACCTTATCAACTAATTCTTATACTCTTATTTGTTAAAATAAACTGTTTTTTTACTGAAATTTTTTGTTGTTGAATATAATTCATTAAATAGTGGTTTTACTCAATTAAAAGAAGAATTATCACTCACACTGAAAGTGAGTGTTTGCAAAGTGATTCCTGAAGGTCAAGTTGTGGCCAGGAATATCTCTCTCTCTGTAGGGGGCTGTCATGTCTTCATCCGGATCATTGGACTCACTGTCAGGTAATGGGATATTCCTTATCTTGCAGATGTTATGCAGAATTCCACAACATGTTATGATTTTACATGCCTTAATTGGAGAAAGGCGAATCTCTCCATGTAAGACATGGAACCGTCTCTTGAGCTGGCCTATACCTCTTTCCACGACACTCCGCGTCCTTTTATGTGCTCTGGAAAACAAGTTCAGAACCCGTCTAATACACACACACACACACACACACACACACACACACACACAACAATTTACAGATATGTGTGTATTACAGTCAGTGTGTTCCATAATGAATTTCCACAAATTTGTTTCAGTTATCTTACAAATTGAGTAAAAATATGTCCATTTTATTTATAATAATAATGAAATCCAAACATTATTATGCTCTATTTCATCACTCAGTGATTGAACATGAGTAGTCAATAATTATTGTGAAGTGTCTAAGCCCTTTTGAACTCCAATAACGATTATCCAGTCTGTTAGGTGAATGGACAGATGTTTTAGTCACTTGATGTAATGACTAAAATATTTACGCTTTTTTATACTTTGTAAAAAGTGATTCACATTGACCTATATATTTTTAGAATATTTTTTATGTTTTTTTAAACATAAATGTTTTTATGTGTCATTAAATATATTTCATATTTTTATATGGGTAATTTCTTAATGTTCAATTTCGATATAAATATGCACAACCAAATATCTTTTCACATTTGAACACTTAAACTTTTCACAACAACCAATTCTCACTTTTGTAATTTTGAAGGGGGATAACTCTCATTACGATTGCGTGTTCACGAATGTAGGAGAATATTACCGATTGTAGGATGTCTGTGAGCCAGGATTTGGTCTCAGGTACGGCGTAAGCAGCCAGTTTCTGCAGGGGTAGCCACTATCTCCAAGTAGGTGACATCCGGTTGGCACGATGTGTCGTTCAAATAAAATATGAAGCCCGCTTTCGGTGAATATTCTCGAGTCGTGTGTCGAGCCTGGCCACTTCGCAACAAGGTCAATTATCATATTGTTTGGATCGAATACAAGCTGTGTGTTTATACTGTGGTACTGTTTACGATTTACATATGAGGGTTCGTCGACAGATGGTGCAATAATCACTAATTACCAGGGAAGTGAGCGATGTTGTAAAACGCCGCTTGATTCCGACGAATGCAACCCTGTGTTGTCGGAAAGTGAATAAACTGGGATGCTATCTCAGCGTCGGACAAAGCTGACACTGTCTGCTCTATCGCCCGACTGACCGACGATTGGGAAAGACCCAAGTCATCCCCGTTGCATAATTGCATTTTGCCTGTAGCGAAATAACGTAGCGTTGCTACAACCTTTTCAGTTCCTGTCATGGCATGAGAACGAGAGGTGCTAGGACATATTTTATCAGCAATTAACCCAGTCACATATTCAATACCACTTTTGTTTAACCTGTATCTTCTGATTAGTTCTTTGTCAGAATATATTTGCAGTACATCTCGTCTAGCGGTGGTTTGTACAATACCTATGGCAGCCATATTGGATGTCTTAAGAAAATTCTTAAGGACTTAAGTAAGCTCATGAGGTATCTTAAACTTAAGCAAAGAACTAAGCACTGAGAAGCTCTGTGAATATGACTTAAGAAATTTCTTAAAACTTAAGTTGGTTGTTAGGGAAACTAAGATTTCTTTGTGGATTTAAGAATTCTTAAGGCTTAAGAAAATTCTAAGAAGCTTTGTGAATACCGCCCCTGGAGGCCTGTACACAAGGAAATATGATAAGTTGCCAAGTGTTCAGCGGGTCTCTTACTAAGTCTTAGAGAGAAAATACTGAAGCCTCATGTAAATGACGGACGAAGGGGACACTCGGTTTCAAGTGAGGGATCAAGATTCAATCCCACACTTATCATGTTAATGCAGTACAGAATTTAAAGAGTTAATATCTGATTCTAACATGTCTCAGAACCCTTAGGAAGCCTTGTTTCCATGTAACATGTATTCAACTTCAATGAATTTAATAATGTTCATTTCGTGCTAGCAAGACAAACATGATGAAAGCTATCATAAAGTTTCTTGAAAATCACACTGTAAACATAATTCTAAATTGTCTCTGACCAAATTAGTAAACATCATAGCTGAATCAATGCTACTTTTTTTCTATTATGAGGAAGCATTGCATTACACATTATTTCCACAGGGAGTGGAATTTGACAACTTCTGGGAAAAAAGATCAATCCGATAGGAAATAGACCTATACAATTTGTAATCAAAGGACAAAAAGTCCCAAGGAAGGATATGCTACAAATAGTGAGAAGTTTAAACCTCATTTGATAACACTGCAACTGTTCAAATAATCTTCTTGCTCAACATGCTCAAGCAAAGAAAGAATTAAGTTTCTTCTAATATTTTTTCCAAAGGACCAATTGGTGTTCAAGCATTATTAACTGATTAAATCAGGTCCAAGTTTGATGCATGTAATCGGTTCTGTTTTAATCTGACTATCCATTGTGTAAGACCATGATATATGAATGATCTGGGAAAATATCATAATATATCAGTACAGTACACTTGGGTTTCTGCTGTATTGGATATTTCAGGAAGCCATAATTGTGAATGTGAAATTGTTGCATAGCCACAAAGTATTGTCAGCAACCCTGTCTCACGTTTTCTTACATTGTACCACTAACATCACAACAGAAGAGCAAATTTTGATTTATACACTAATATATCCTCGGCCTGAAGTTCAGGTGTAGACATTTTATTACATTAGCAAAAGAACTGTTAGTGTGCACCAACCAATCAGATGGGACTATTTTCTAAATGTGGTCTCATTTTTTTATTCCATAACACACTGACACCATCACTGCAATAAGACATGTAGATATTCAGACACCATCACTGCAATAAGACATGTAGATATTCAGACACCATCACTGCAATAA